TGTTTTAAAAATTTTGTAAAGATCGTGGCATCACGAAAGCTTCAAAAGTTTTACTTATCATTAAGTTTTAAAAAATTCATTTCGTGCCATCCGTTCCTTTAGAAAAGCAAAAGGACAATGTTAATAATACTCATGAAAAAAAGGCGACCTCCAACATCACTGACTAACCTGTCGTCTTGAACCACCATGTGCAGAAACTTGAATAAGAACGTTTGCTTCTGGCAAATCAAATGATGTATCAGCAACCTGAACAACGAAAAAGCTTATTGGTGAAGATCAGGCAAAAAGTATTCATACAAACCAACCTTTGACACGAATATGGTATTTACACGAGGATTGTACTGGAAGTTTTGCAGAATTTTCATTCGCTCATTCTGACTCGTCTCGCCATAGAGGAAAGGCTTATTCATTTCTATTGCATACTTTTTGAGGGCAAAGACGTTGTCAGAGAAGACAATGATCTGGAAATAATTACTGGCTTAAAACATACAAACAATAATAAGGACAGAAATTTTTCTAAAAAATTTATCTGAAGAAGGAAAACTTTGAAAGTAGAATTCAGCACTGATAATACATCTCGAACAACAAACCTTATCATTTCTGCGTTCGTGAAATTTGATGAGAAACTGGCAAATACGGAACTTGTTGGGGTTCATTACGGCCAGCAATAAACGTCGAGCAATTTGAGCCCTGGAATAACATTAAAATCGAAAGGAATGATTGTACACCATATGGTATACTTCACTTCTCCTAGCTGCTCTCTACACCCCCTAAAAGCAAACTGGGTCTTACCTCAAATAATAAGCGTAAAATTCGGAGGTCATCGGGCACCAAACTTCTGCACACTGTACCTTTGCAATATGACCAGCCTTCTGCAGTTCCATCCAGTTGGCTTCGTAAATTTTAGGACCTATGAGAGAGGTAATTTTTTTGGGACTAACAGTTCATAACTAACGTCTTACCAATTAAAAAATTGAGATCAGTAATTTTGTCATCTTCACGAACAAGCGTGGCCGTTAGACCCAGTTTGCAATGGGCTTGTACAATAGTAAGCACTCTTC